ATCTCGAACAAACAACGCTAGCAAACTTTTTCGTTGCAGCAGCAAACGTACCACGTTATTACTTATTAATGTCATTTACAATAATACGTTTGTTATTGCGGCAATTAAAATTGCTTACGCTGCTCAAGTTTCAGACGTCCATATGTTTCCAACTAATTTACGCTACTGAAGCTGTTCTTTTTCTCCCGTGTATCCAAAGTTTGCCTATGAATATATTCTAGCCGCGCGATAAAAGACCAGTGAATTATTCTATTGATATGCTGTATTTACTCGACAATTTCCGCGTGTACACTTATTTTCGGGGCATCGCGTCGAGGACGAATCACACGCGCTTGTTGTGATTTCGAGGGACGCGTCGCGGCGACGAGAACGACACTCCGCTTGAATATGCGGCGGGGAAGTGAAAAAGCGTGAAAATTAAGGATTCGCCGAATCTAAAGCGTGGCGAATCGGCCGGCCGATAACGCGAAATTTCAGTAACGAGAAAATAATGCAAAAATAGATAGATCGCCGGGGCTGCGCCTCCGCATTATGCGCTCCGCCACGTTCGCGCTTTTTATTTGCCCGATGAATCGGCAAGGTTGCGGGCGGGGGAGGGGAGGAGGAGGGGGAATTTATGAAACAGCGGAGCGTACATCGATATGTCCACACGCGCGATCAATCGGACTGTAATATTATCCAAATGTACGATTCCGACGGGCAACGTGGCAGCGTGGCGCGTATCACGTGACTCGGCGCGCGACTCTCGCCGAAATTTAATTTCGGACAATAATTCCGCGGTCCCGCGTCGGAAAAAATGCGCGGCAGTATTACCGATATTATATTATCGCCGAAATTTCATTCCAATAATAATTATACGCCCGCAATACGGGGTAAGAGGGAAGGGGGAAGAAGTGAGAACGAGGCATCGGCCTGCTCGTCGCTCCATATACCGTCGTTGGAATTTAATTTTGACAATAATCCCCGCGCGATCGCGCGCGAGGTACGACTGGAATTGCCGTTGATAATTAAAACATCGGACAACGATCGCTGGCGCAAGACATTTAGCGTGATCCGCCGGTGATGCTCGTTCTACCGTACCCGTTCGTTATCGACGCATTAATGTCGTTATGTCGTTTTACATCGCTGAATGTAACATCGGTGAATGTAGGTTGCACGGTACATATTGAAGCGCGCTGACGTATTCGTACTCAGAGACCCGACTCGCCGAGATTTGCCTTCCGCGCAACGGCCTTTTTACATTTCACGCGAGGGCGCGCAGCTTTATATCGCTCATTCTGAAAGGAAACTTTTGTCGATGCGTCTCATTATTATGTGTCGTGTGCAAAAGTCAAGGTAGCGCGCTTATTTAATTCCACGATTCTCTGGCAACATTTTTCGCGCGCGATATGCCAAACGAATCGGACAAATATTCAATCACGCTGTTATACGGCCGTCCGTGTGCGGCCCGAGTGCGCGCGAAATTGATGAAAATGCGCGAAATCGCGTTTCGCGTGAAACGCATTCGGCCCTTGCGCGCTGTAAATATGCGTGATACCGGTAATTATTTCGTTCTACCCGGCGCTACTCCCTTCGTCGCCGGAAATCCGCTGCAGTTAGTGCAGACAATAAAAGCAGTCGGTTCCGCAATAATATCAGCCTGAAAAACATGTCGACCGAACTCAATTTGCTCGCAATTCGTCGATCAGCGCTGTCACCCCTCCCTCCCTCCCCCCCGACCACGGAATAAAGCCAGCTGCTGCGGCCATCATAATTTTTGCGAATTTCAAAATCGCGCAATCACGAGCGCGTGAATGCGCGACTGTGCGCGATAATGAGCTTTATACCGAGTGTCCCGCAACTGCTGAGACCGCTCCTCCGATTCGTAAATATCGGAGGAACGGTGGATCGCGCGCAAATAAATAAATAAATAAGCACAATGAGGTGGCACGAATAACTTATATTTACACTGGCTCTGTAGATGACCAACCATGATATAATGATAAGTATGACGAACCTACACGGAGAAAGTATTGTAGTTAAAGTTAACGCGAAATTTTGTAAAGTTGTAAAAGGCCACATACTGGAATTATGACTGAAATTATTACGTATGTTGTAATTTTTTGTGACAATGAAGTATATCACTAGTATATAACAGAAATATTATATATATATTATAGTAATCCTCTAAATAACTCTATTCAACTAATGAATGAATTAATAGCATTTTTTATTCTACTTTCTATGCTACGATATTTACATCTTTCCATGGTTAGCACACAATAAATTTTTCTAAAGCAGAATGAAAGAAGCGGAACGGTTGAAAAAGTACAACAAATGGGAAGGTGAAGTTGCAAGAAAAATAAAGGCTAATCGGGATTTTCAGCAGAGTAAACTCTCAACTGTGAGAGTTGACTGAAGAATCCGTAGATTAGTCTCGGCGCACCCTGTATACCGATGGAAACTGATAAATTGCATTTCCCACGGCGGAGGTCGGAAAGCACGAACTCACTGAATCGAAAGCCACTAAAATTTCTATTTGACCCGCGTACTCTCCCGTACGTATTATTGGACTCGAACTGTACTCGAGCGAAATTTCGTTTGGCGGGACCATTAATTTCGCCAGCGTATTAAATATGTGCGGCATACTCGGTTTTCACATAATCCATTCAATTGTGAATGCGGTGCGACTGATCGGCTGATCAATTGACGTAACTCCGGCAGTGATTGAGTCATAAATAGCTGAAGGACGATTCATGCGAATATAGAGAGAACAGAGGTTATTTCTGGCGCGGCGCGACAATGAAGAAGAAAGCGTCAACGCCAAGTGCGGCACGCGAAAATGCAAAACATCCGTACTGAATCGTTAATGTTATTTTTAGCGGAAACACGTTGTACAGATCGCGTATTGTGCGAGAATAATTCGATTATCGCACGACACGCTTCTCTCTCTCTCTCTCTCTATAACGAGATCCTCGTTAAATTTCCGCCGAAAAATCTCGCAATATACAAAAATATTTACGCAAATCACGCACGATCAAACGGAAAGATTATTGCCTTTCATGTCTTTTGCGATTAATCCAATCGAGATTTTTGCAGGTCTATATGGAAGAAAAAGAATTGGTAAAGGGTTAACGTAACAATGAATAAACCAAACGCGTTTTCGTTGAATGAAACCGTAGTTTCCGGTTCTAAGAAGTGGATTTGGCTCATAAGAATCGGAAATTCTATTTTCTTCAAGCAAAACGCACTCGGTTCGTTCATTGTCGTGCCAATAGCAACCGATCTTTTTTCTTCGTATAAAAAAAAAAGTGTTTGTTTCTTCGTTAGCGAGCTATCGTTGGCGCACGTGACCAAAGAGTGAGTTTCCCATTTCCCTTAATGAGAAATATATATATATATATATATATATATACATATATATATATATATATATCTCCCATTCTCCGGCAAATATATCGGATATATTCACGATACGGTGCGTTCCCGCCCCTCGTTTCAGTTATTGTTCGTGCCCGCCTATTAACGGCCCTTATACCGCAAATGTTCGACCGACATCGGAACGGGTAACACATGAGCTCCGTGGAGCAGTAGCGTGCGGAGCGCGCCGAACTTTCCGCGCGAATATCGAAGATATTTGCTATTCAGCGCCACTCGAACGGTCAAGTAGTATACCACTCGGAATCGCGCGGAGTGGAGCGGCCGGATTTCCGCATGGGCTTTAAACTGTCTGCGAAGTTGGCCCTCTCGCCCCCCTTTTCCAACCCTTCGCCGCTCTTTATCGCCGACTCTGCGAGCATCGCTTTCATCCCTTCGCAAGCGCACGGTAGATGCTCGTGTGTCTGTGTATATATTTGCATTACGTCTGTGTGTGTGTGTGTGTCTGTGTGCGCGCGATCGCGAAACGATCGGCTACCACGGGCAAAATTTACCCTGGCATATGTGTCGAATTGCGGCGGGCTGCTTGTACAGCGTTTACGCGCACGTGTACAGTCCGCCGTTAAAATTGGCTAACTGACGAAATATCGATTATCCTCGGTATTCCCGAAAGTGTCCTCCGAGGGTGAGTAATAGTTTAATTAATACCGACACGCGCGCGTGCGCACGGCTGTATCTATTATTTACTTATTTACCGGCGGCACGGTGCGCTTGTTTCCCGTGCCCGTCGATCTGCACGTAGACGCCGAAGTTTCGCTTTCACCGTTGCTCTACGCAGCGTCCAAACGTGCGGGGCTTTGCGACAAGTTCGGCAGTACAATTGCGACGAGAGAGAGAGAGAGAGAGAGAGAGAACAGTCCGACTTAAGATACAATTCGTTCCGACGAATTCCAAGCGATCGAAGGAACCACCGTCGACGTCCGATAGCGTCCCGTTTCGTCGCGACTCCTCGCGGGAATAATTAATAAAGAAATCGTGAGGCATCTCCCGGCTCCGCGTCTCAATTAGCGGTAAAGATATGCGTCGATAGATCCACATCTCGTAGATTATATATCAGAGTACTCCGTAATGCATGAATACGCCATTAATACGGCTGGGAATACGAGCGAGCGCGCTCCTCCTGATAACACACGCGCGCGCGAGACCCTCCCAATATGACCAGCGGCGATACATCGATTATGCGAACTCGCAAATTGCGAGTGTGTCCTGGGCGCACTCTGTCCCGCTTTATTAAACTCTTGAAATTACATTCCGCGAACGTGAACACGAACGTGAGCTTCGTAACGACGTTTCTCTCCCTCTCTCTCTCTCTCGTCTTTCGGAGATCGACGAAGCCTCTACTATCATTGACGAGGCGGAGCGTGACGGGACGATTTGCCGGTCGATAATTAATTAGCCGAGCTTGCGCGGGCTCTCGCGAGCGAACACGCGCGCGCGCTGTGAAATTTTTTAACTTGCCGTAACTGGCGCGGAAGATTTCTCATTAGGAGGACGGTTATTCTCCCGTTTCGAGTGATATTTAAATCCCGCCGAGTTCTTCCGCAGTGCGGATATTCGAGGCGCTTATACGTTTCTGAACTTACCTATTATCCCCTAGAAGTGACCCGTTAGCCGCTTACCAGCAAGTTATCCGCTTCCCGGGCTGATTTAGGCATGCGTTCTTAGTCTCGCGTCCGCCCGTTGCTAAAACCCTTCCCTGCTCATGCTGGCCTGTTGGGACATAAAAAAGAAGATCCTACGTCGAGTGTCAGAGTGATTTTTTTCCCCAGCCGATGCGCCGCTTTGCAATTTGCATATATTCACGCTTGACGCTTTAAAGGATAAACCCGGCATCGATTCGAAGTAACGTAAAGTCTCGTGCTACCGAAGACGACGATGTCACGTCATGTCGTGAGTGTATATTTAGTTAATTGTAATAAAAAGACGAACTTTAAGACGTTCGGCTAAGTGGGTGATTCTAACGGCTATATGGCTCAATGGTTATCGACTTGGAGGAGTATCTCCTAATAACGAGTCATTTCTTTGAAAAATGGTATCTCATGGATGACAACTTGCTGCACGGTATTCTCAGATCGCATCGCAACCTTCTCGTTGTCGCGATCGTCCGCGATCTAATGCCCCGAATTAAACGGACGATAATACGACGAGATGCGGAAATTGGCATTTTAGTTGGAAAAGCCGGAACGTTATTCTTTAACGCAAACCTCTTTCGTGAAATTTTCTCTCGCTCGTTGGTAACGCGCGGCGACAAAAACTAAGTACGTTGTTCTTTAATAATTGCGGACGTGCAGCATTCGCAGCGTGTATGAGTGAGAGAGAGAGAGCACGCGGGTGGAACTTCGCAATCCGACGGCGAAAAATTTTATCCGAAAATTTCGGTCCTATTCCGACATTTGGGTCGCGCCGCGCTTTTACCGTACGTTCAATATTTTCGAACGCGTGCAGACGCGCGTCGTGCGTACATGCGTGCGGGTGTAGAGTGTCATGCGGATCTCACAGTTCAAAGCCTCGCAACCAGTTTTGTGCGCTGTGGCAAGCATTGCGGTCCGTCTAGTTAAAAATTTTATTCCTCAAGAGCGAACTGCCAATCGTAAAGATTAAATCACTTTGAAGCAGACATTATCATTACATTATCATTCGTGTTGCGCAACGGAGATTGAAAGAAGCCGATGAAAATCACGCGCTGGACTCGCGCTCTTACACCAAACCACGTGCTTATTAATAAACCATAACAACCGTGAGGGTTTTTCTGACCCGAGAAGAGCGACCGCCACGATCGCGATGCAATTTGCAAAGCGCGTCCCTTTCCCCCCCCCCCCCC